GATATATTATATAGACGCAGAATATGACTATATATCTACAACATTAATAATTTTTGAATGTATATATATATGCAGACTATTTTCATTTCTTTACATGTCTCCTTTCGTCAAAAATATTTAACTGAAGGTTTTGTAGAGAACGACAATCCTCGACATTTTTTTTTTTTTCATGTATAATGAGCTAATGGGTAAATACAATACTCTCATTTTTATAATTATTTATAAATTTTACAAGTCAAACTGAAACAGTTGGTTTCTATTGGCTGATTAAATATCACTGGAACTTTGCCGTCGATGGGCACTGTGCTCATTGATTGACTGGATGCATTCAACCATTGGAATTCATAGATATATATTTTGTATACGTCACTATGAGTCCCATATATGAAACAGGACGCGGCGCGACGACCACCGCCCTTTACATAGTGAGGCAGACTACAACACTGCCATCTCGTGTTGGAAAAATACAACTTCTTGTTTTTATGACGAACATTGAAGGCAATTTTTAAAAATTGACTCCACCATTTTCTTGTTTATTCATCGAAACAGCGCCATCAAATGTAAAACTGGACTGCTTTTCAAATTATTGGCTTCATTTGACAATCCTGTGACAAAAGAACATAGTGCGCTGCAGATCTCGTCCCAACGTAAACGGTTGCATCACGTGGTCTGCGAACTTGCCAAGATGGCGGACAACGACGCTGAAGAGCGTTTTGAAGAGGACCAGGAGATTTGGAACGCAAATAGCCTATTTCGCCAAGCTGTAGAAAACATCCTGTCAGTTACGCATGCATATCGAACCCTCACGGATATTGATGGTTTTACCAAAAGGTACATCGCCGTGATTGCCAAGGTACGGTTAAAGAAAATCAAACGTTTTACGCTCGATTGGTTAGAGGTCAAGTGAGCCAGTGAAACTCATTTAACGGACGAACCTGACCTGTTCTTTTACAATTCTCATTTGCTAGCGACGGTTCTCCTTAAGTATTGCAATAAAGCAAACCTGGTTCAAATCTTGCGACACTCGACTGATAACACTTGACCACGGTGATTGTGTACAGTGCTTTGTTGTTATTGTTACACGTGGTTATTATGTATTTGAACGGGAATCGCCGGAGATCGCGTACTTGCACGTAATATTTCAGCCTGGTCACGTGGTTAAGATGGTAATCCGTTGGCGCCATCTTGAAGGTGGGCGGGGCGGTATCCCTAGATATGCCAATAAGATTATTCAGCTGACTTGTAGTATTTTACACGATTGCATATACCCTGATGATCATTGTAGTCGGACCTTTGTATTCGTGTGCACTGTAGTCATTTGCACACCCTACATTGTAGGGGTTCCAGAGCTGGGATAGGACCAAATAAAACAAAAGTGTGTGTAGTTTGGATAACCCAACCCCAGGGGCACTTGCAACAGGAATTTGTTAGGCTATAAGTTAGGCTTATATAAACCCAGTATACTATAGAAAACCGTGAAGTACATACAACTTCGGTACAGACGATTGCTGTACACTGTATTTACTGAATTTAAATATCACTGAGAGATAGTTATACCTACAATTAACAATAAAATGTCGTCTCGCAGAGAAAGAGATAAAAACGACTATTTGCTCTGTGTCTGACTTTTGTTATTGTGATCCTAAATTACTGCCATAGTACATATATTCAGTGTGTAATACTTGATGTGTAAGATCACCAGCTTGTTGTGTAAAATTAGATTTCTGATGAACTTTTATCATGATAGTTTGGAGTGAAACAAGACTTCTTGTTTTCTGAGTATAAACCTTATTCTTAATTGGCTATGCATGTTGCAATGTAATGTTGCTATACCAACTGTTTAATAATCGCGGAAATAAAATAGAATCACTATTTATTTGTCAGAAATGTACTCCTTATTTGATTGATCTTGACTACTATTTAATTTTTATTTATTTTTTAAAAACAAATGCCCATTTCAGTGCAATATAAACCAAAAAAACCAAAACAAATCTGTTGGCAGGCATTTCACTAGCACTTTAAGTTCACAAATTTTGCAAGAAAACAAAGAGTTCTATTGTTATTTTACATGTTCATATGAATTAGCAGAAATATCTATACTGAGATAAATAATAAATTTTGTACAGGTTAACCTTACCACTCCCATAAGTAACTTTGATAAATTAATTAATTGGTACCCCTTCCCCACCTCTTTGTATACATTTAAAATCCGTATGTGTATATTCCTTTGTATCCTGCCTTAATCTAGGCTCCAAGGCTTGGGTTGGTTTATTATATTAACAGCTGATGCAATGAACAATACATGATGGCTAGCTAGCTAGCTGGCTGACACTATAAATTTAATTTCATCTTTGAAACAAGGAAATTAATTCTAATTTGACACTGTGCATTTGTCACTAAAAAGGAAAATTCATTTGCTATATATTTGCTTACAATTTTGGAAAACCCCAGAATAACTAATTCTGCTTCCATTGAGAATTCACGGGTCTGCTTAAAACATACCATAAAAACTCAATCAATTCGGCCACTCAAATAATTCGATTCAAATTAGCAGTTCGTCCAGTGAGGAAATCGCCCGATTTTTCCCGTCACTCTCTCAACAAAGGTGTTGTTTTACACATGCACGTAAATGCGATGTAAAGCAATTAGAATATCCACCAGATCACCAGATGTGCAGTCATAGACTCGTGTCAACCGTGGCTGTTTAAGGGACATATAAATGACATTCTGTGTCATTACAAATTACCCAGTACATCAGTTGTAAATAATCGCAAAATAAAAAAATCATTGTGATGCACAAACTATTCACGACGAACAATTATTTTAAGTCGTTGCTAGCAATCACTAACAAAACGAAGCCTTATGGGTCTGGCAAACCACTGAATTCAGGCCGACACTCGACATGCAAATTTTATTGTATGTGGAATGTCCAACAAGTCGATACAAAGTCGACATTTTGTAGCGTTTTTATTGGACAGAGTTTTGTTTACACTGTCACGCAGCCAGCGTGTCAAGATGTCTTTTTGACAGTGATGTTTGAAACCTTGTCTTGCAACCTTTTTAATTTTAATTGGGTGAAAAAATGGGGTCGTGATATAGAAGCCATTTCAGTAGCAGCGCATGGTCCCGGCAATACGGCAGATAAGACAACGAGATGTGTGAATCTCGGGACTAATCATTTCGGTATTGTACATCAGACTGAGTACTGACTGATGAAGGCTAATAAAATGCTTTACTTATTCATTTGCTATAAAATCTCTAGTTTAGGTGTAATTTTTCAAATATTTCAATCTTTCCTGAAGCTTAAGTTAAGAGTCTAATTTAGGTTTTTAGTAGTCACTGACGTCTATTCAAGAGTACAATGTTTATTGTGGCTCGCGTGAATTGGGTAACTCGTCAAACCTGTGTTAACGACCACCTGTGCAGAGCGGCCACCTGCTCATAGCGACAGCCTTAGTACAGTCCCTTCGCAATTTACATGTTAAAGACACTGGATATAGCGACCACCTGTCCAAAGCGACCAGCGACCACCCTATTGTAGACCTATTCACCCTTTAACCTTTGTATAACGACCACCAACATTTCCATCAGACGGTCTCAGCAAAAAGACAATAGCTACTTGCTAATCGCTAACAGGAAAGTGGCCATATGTTACGTTCAGATTACAGAGTACGCATTCTTTAGGGCTAATAGACAGGGGTGACCATCGCAAATTGGTTTGTGAAGTTGCGAAAAAGTAAAAAAAAAAGTTGAATATCATCTGAAAGTAACTTCTGTAGACTGGAAAGATTTTAATAACAAATTAAAACAAAGTTTGAAATGAAAAACTAGCTTGTATCCGATCGGTACTATACTATCGTTCCCCAGCCGGCCAGCATCACTTCTGTGGACTGTCTCGCACATGAAGAGCAAATTCCTCCATCTCGAAAACAAGAAAAATTAACCAGTTTTATTAAATGAGAGATGTTTTATTTACCTTGTCGACATGAAATATCCAAACAAAATAATAAAACATTTGTTTATTTCGTTTTCATCGCGGGATTGCAAAATCCGACTTATTTAAGCCGCCATGTTGTTTGTTGTTGATCGTTATAAATTATGCTAATGAAGCTAGCGCATGGGCAAAACGTATTGTTACTGAGGGGTCATCTCGGGGTTATTCTCAACGAAAGATGTTTTTTATTTTGATGCTCTTTTTTTTATAAACGAGAAAATTCGTTTCGTTTGGGCAGTTTTGACACGTCGATGCTTGCAACAAAAAACTGTATAACTGCGTGAACGATCATCATGTTTCATTTCCAGTTCGTTTGACTTACTGATTCAACACCGAGAGTTGGAGCAATTGTTATGAATTTGGTAAATTTTGTTTATTACCAATGCTTCTTCATTTTTAATGCTTGTTTGTTTGTTTTTTCAAACACGGCAATTTTGGTTTCAGTGATTGTACATGATATAATTTGTAGTAAAAAGGTAAAGCTGTGTAATTATCCAGATGAAAATAAGTGACTTTTATTAAAAGAGATCTATTCATTGTACAATGTGTAGGTTTGTTTTTATGCTTTGCTTATGATCTCCCTTAAAATATCCGCCCTAATTTATATTCATGGTTGAATAAATAAATTAGACCACCTCCACCTGTCTGTAAAGGACAGTTTGCCTCAGTCCACTGACTGTCCTTTATAGACAGGTTTGATTGTAGTATGTACTTTCAGAAATACTTCTCCGGGATGAACAGGTTAATTAGTCCCTGGGCGCGCATAGTCTGAAAAATGGGGACTTGTAATTTTGCCTATGTGCATCCATTTGCAGTTTTAGGGTCATATCTCTGACATGCTTTGATCAATCACATTCAAACTTTACACGTACATCACACATAATATCATATATAAACACATGTATTTGTTTCATGATCATATTCAAGATGGCTGAATTGTGGCCATTTTAGTGCTAAAAATTTTTCGAAATCAACAAGTGTGTGTGCGATTTGATTCACGTATGATTGACATATGATTGGCGTACAATAGATGTAAGATTGAAATACTTATAATTTACACAAATGTTTATATATAGCAATATTTTTGTGTAGAAAGATAGAGGTTAACCAATTTTTTTGGTGAAAATCATGGTTATAAATAGTCACAGTCTCGCTCACATTGGAAGTGTAGATATAAAATAGAAATAGAAATACACGAAATACGCAAAAATATGTTTAAAAGAACATGAATAACATGTAAAAAAAAATATAGTCTCAAATTATCACCACTCATTGGTAAAAAACTAAAATATTTGAAACAAGGACATTGACGATGTTTTTATTTATATTCTTTGCCCTTTGACCTTCTGTGCATTTGTAGACAAGTCAAACAACTGTCATGCACATTATGAAAGTATTTATAACCTTGATGCTTGTGAAAAACACTAAATTGATTCCTATTTTCTCGCAAAAAAATATTGTTAAATTGGCGCAAATTGCTATATACATTTGCGTGAACTATAGGTAGGTATTCCAATGGGAGTATCAATTGTATGTCCATTGTATTCCAATCGTACATGAATCGAACTGTACGCTGTCTTCACACTAAAAATCCTGCATTTCTGCCATTCCAGAACTGGATCTCAGTCGTGCATGGGACATATTATGTTCAAACTGTGTATGTCCATTAAATATAATGGGTCCTCATCATTTTTTTTTTCAGATTTGAATCAAAATGGCTGACTGATGGCCATTTTGTTTTTAACAAAATGCTGTTTTTGGAGCCATATTATCAACATTGCTGGACTGATTATGTTCAAACTTTACACATATATCATGTAATACATTTGCACATGCATCTGTTTTAAAATCTGATTCAAAATGGCCGATTGTCATTTTCATGCTAGAAGTGCATTATGAATGTCATGGACAAAATAAAGGAAAGAGTGACACAAATAAAGTGGTTCCACTTTGTATCATGTCTGTCACATGCGTGTAAATAATTATTTGGAACCAATGTAGACATTCACTAAAAACTGGACGGGGACTTGTCATTGACAATGACTTGTTTCATTCAAACTTTGTATTGGGGGGGGGGGGGTCATGCTATGCTAGTTTCTTATAATCACTACATTTTGTCAGTGTATGTGCTTCCAGTCATACTGCATGCAGGTGATGCATGGAGCCCTTTTGGTAGGGATGTGACTTGTATTGAACACTGAGATTGACTACCAGTAATACCAAGTTACAATTGTACATTGTCAATGCTTGTGTGATTCATTATTTCAACCTTGATAGTTTGGGCCTTTTGAATGCTAGAGTGAGGCTCATGGATATGCAAATTAGGCAGACTGGCTGAGAAGCAACCTATTAAACCAAAGCCCTTCTTATTTTGTGTATTTCATTGCGTTACTGTATAAGAGTTTATTATTTGTTGAAGTATGGAATGTATTGTTTCACTCACAAGCCACTGAATTTACAATAATTCATTATAACTTGATGAAATCGGATAAAATTAATTCCTGTGAATAGTTCTTTTTCTACAGTATCTGCTTAGTATTCTATTTAACCCTTGAGCTCCAAATTTTTTTCTCTAAATGGGGTAAATTTGTTCAAATCTTATCTTGATCTTAATTTTGGGCCAAACAGACCAGATGGGACATTGCTTCTAGTTTTTGATCAAAAAATTTGAAATTTTTGTCAACAATTCCTGTCGAAAAGTGCAGACTATGAAAGGAACTGTTTTGCGGATGGTGCCAAAAGTTGACTTGATGCTTGGTTAAAATTTGTATTGCTGTATGCATTATCCAACATTCCATTGGCTAGTAACAGTTCACATGTGATGTTGAGGGATTGTGATTCCAGCTCAAATAATTGTGAATTTAAGTCAAATCTGACAAATTTTGTTGTTATACTGTATCACAATTATATTAATATTTGATTCAGAGTCGATTCTATCCACAATGGGATTTTGTGAAAAGATTTATTTATCAGGGATTTTTTTAAACAAGGGAACAGGGGCGCAGCGCCCTCATGCCATGGCCATGCACCCCTTACACTGGGGAGCAGATCCCCCGTCAATCATAAAATTCTGATTGACCAGGGATCAACTGTGACAAGTCTGATTTTGGACCCAAGGAAGCCATAGAATGCTCCATTTTAACTTAGAATTATCAAAAACTCCACACCCTGGTAGGGAGAACCCTATCTCCTGCACTTGGTGGTTAAACAAGGGAACAAGGGCGTGGTGCCCTCATGCCATGGCCATGCACCCCTTACACTGCGGAGCAGATCCCCCGTCAATCATAAAATTCTGATTGACCAGGGATCAACTGTGACAAGTCTGATTTTGGACCCAAGGAAGCCATAGAATGCTCCATTTTAACTTAGAATTATCAAAAACTCCACACCCTGGTAGGGAGAACCCTATCTCCTGCACTTGGTGGTGCCGCTGAATTTCAGTGCTCCCTCTTGCAGTTTTTTTCTAAAAACAAAAACCTGTTTATGTACAAGTCAGAATCAAACAATATTTGTCTTGTTGTGAATTTGGTTGAATTCTTTCACTATATCTTTATTTTCTTGTTTAGGAATTTTATACATGTCCCCCAGTGTCTGTGAGTCAGCAGTTTTACCTTGGCAACCACATCATATTTAATCTACTAGAGCTTTCTGATAAACTGGACAATGATTGTCAACAGTATAGAGCACTTATACCGGAACTGGTTGAGTAAGTACATGTACATTTCTGTCTTTTTTTGTTCTCTAATAAGTTTCATCAAGGATTTGTTGTCCCCCCATGTCATGTAGTACTGATCGGGCATATAGTGGTTACCAGTGTCTGTACAGTATCATATCTATAAGAAATTCCACACTCTTCATTTTGAAATTTGGTATGTGGTGCTCCATACAGATCTGGTGGAAATAGGTGTCAATTGTATGCGTATTTTATGCATATATTAATGCAGAGTGATGACAATTTATACACTGTTCTTCTCCAAATTTAAACACACGTGCACTCATCATTTTGAAACTTGGTATGCATGATGTCATACTGTTCCGGTGTATATTGCATGCTGGTGCATATATCAACAAGTAGATCATTTTCTGTATACTGCAAGATTCTGCGTTATAGTATTATAGAAATTGAATCTAAATAAAGGACAAACAAAGTTCATAGTGTCTTAGTGGTTTCAGCACATCACATGGGATTCAACAAGTGCGAAAGTGTTTCTGGGTATTTCCCCTATTTTTATTTCTATACACATTGTGATGAAGTCATGGTATCTCAACGTTATATTGCCCTCTAAAAGATTGTCACTGAACTATAAAAAAGAGAAGTTAAAAATCAATTCATTTGAATTTAGCGACAGAAGTTTTTCATGCATTACGCGAGATGAACGGGAAAATCCCCTAGTATTACAAAATTTATGAAAACTAATAATTTAAATTCAACACTTGCCTAGCATGATGATCTTACAGTTCTGGTGCATTGATTTGCAAAGGCTATAATAGTTTTCCTATGTTATAAATTATAGCCTTGAATATGGGTGCCCTCTAAACTCCAAGTTCATACTCTCCTATTGGTCAGAGTGAATTTGGTTTGACACATGTCAAAATTTGCATATCACCATACATGGGTATGAAAATATTCTTATCTTAAAAGTACTTGGTCTTGATATTTACCCCAGTCATTTGCATTGAGTTCCAAAACATTGTTATGTAGATTTGTTGTGTTTCAATTTTCAATGAATCCTAGATTGCCAAGTGATAGTTACTGTAAAATATTTTATTTTAGCTGGATTTAATTTTCGCTAAATAGACTTTTTTTTGGTGTTTTGTATGGAATTTATTTTCACTGATTTTTGACAGGTTTATAGGAAAAAAGGTATATTCGCTGGATTTTATTTTCGCTGAATCATTCCTTCAGCGAAAATAGTGAAAATTAATTCCAAGCGAAAATAAAGTATTCCACAGTATTCATCTTAAACAATTGTCAAAAATATTAATTTCTTTTCCCACGTTATTTGCAGTTATATTGAAAAGCTAATACTGCATGAAGGGTATGAAATCCTCTTGCCTGAATCAAGTAAAACTTACCTATGTGACCTATATATGAAGGCTGATAAAACGTATCATAGTATTGTTGGGGACAGATTTAAAGTATGTGCTGACCTGGTGATGTCTGCCTGGACTAATCCTGCGCTTGTTAAAATAGTCTCTGGAATACCGGTTATGGAGGAAGAAGGTAACTATAGCAACTGCATGTAAAACACTAAAAATGAAGTTGTTTTTTTCTGACTCTGTCGGTCATTCATGACTCGTTTCTTTCACTCTACAGCATTCGGATTTGTGTCTCAAGAAGGACCGCGACTAATGTCACAAAGAATTAAAATGTTGACTGCCAATGACCTCATTGAGGAAGCCCTTCATCTTGCCAAATGCTGCGCTGATCATCCTAAACTAGGAAAGGATGGTATATTTTTTCGAATGGCCGTTTACCTTATGTGTAAACAGCAGTATTGGCAGTCTGTGAAACATGAGGTAAGTGTTTTATCTACGACAGGTAACTAGTCTTTTGTTAAAGTTGCATGATATGTGGTTGCTATAGCAACCAGGATGTAAATGTTGTTTACTGTTGTAACTGTTGACGTAATATACATTCATTATAAATTCCCATATACACTGCAGCTAGGCAAATTTTTTTACAATCGTTTTTTCACATTCCACGTACTCAAAAATTACACTAAATTCATACAGGGACTATGTCATTGACAATGACTTGTTTGTCATATGTGTAGCAGTTAATTTGGGAATTCTACAGAACTTGTTTTGAATTGTTTGTTTTTTCTCATAGTTGGACAGCAAATCGTGCTGCGAAATTTTGGATTTGGTGAAGATTTTTCGAAATGTAGATCTTAGTGGTGCTGCCGTACATATTAGCACACTAGCTCTCTTGATGTACTGGGAACGAAAAAAACCCTGTGACTGTGTTCAAGATCTGTCAACAGTGTGGTTTGACGCTCAGATAAACCACTGCAAGGAGGACCACACAGAAATAAAAGACCGCGTGTCCTGTCTCATCGAGATCTGCAAAACCTATAAGAAAAGCGTAGTGTGTGATTTTGTAAGAAGTATCATTTCCTGTTTACCGTTAAGTGTAAGTATGTTATGTTATACTTGTATCCTCTTGTTTTGGCAAGCATTTTTGCATTAACTATAACATTACATTTTATATGCATTGTGTTCATCACCTTAAAATATTTAATAAATGAAAGACTGTTTTTACAGTTACACGCAGTGTGCCCTCTAAGTCGATACAGCGTGCCACTGACCCATGAAGATTTGCTGTGACAGAAAATAGTTCAATGATATAGTGATCTTGAACACAAATCTCACTATACTTGTAATTTTGTAAAATTAAGTTGACATTTTATAGACAAAATAAGTAAATACAAAAGAATCACGGGCCACGATTCACATGCAAATTTATTTTGTTCTTGAGACTCGAGCTGACTCAACTT